CTGGATACACAATTCTTGGTTGGAACCCATTTTCTTTCAGCATTTGAAATATGTTGTTCCAGGATCTTCTAGCTTTCAGTCTGTGTTGAAAGATCAGCTGTTATCCTGATTGGTTTACCCCTAAATGTAATCTGTTTCCTTTCTCTTGAAGCTTTTAAAATTCTCTCCTTATTCTGTATGTTGGGCATCTTCATTATAATGTGTCTAGGTGTGGATCTCTTATGATTTTGCACGTTCGGCGTCCTGTAGCTTCTAGAATTTGAGATTCTGTCTCATTCTTCAAGTCTGGGAAGTTTTCTCATATTATTTCGTTGAAGAGATTGCTCATTCCTTTGGTTTGGACCTCTATACCTTCCTGTATCCCAATGACTCTTAAGTTTGGTCTCTTCATGTTATCCCATATTTCTTGGATGTTCTGCTCATGGTTTCTTAAGAGTCTCACTGAGCTGTCTATGTTCTTTTCAAGTTGAAATACTTTGTCTTCATTGTCTGATGTTCTATCTTCTAAGTGTTCTACTCTGCTGGTAGTACTCTCATTTGAATTTTTAAGTTGGTTTATTGCTTCCTGCATTTCTAGGATTTCTGTTTGTTTTTTATAACCTCTATCTCCCTGTATAGTTGATCTTTTGCTTCTTGGATTTGTTTATGTAATTCATTTTTGAAGTGATCTTTCATTTTCTGATTTTGCTGTCTAATGTCTTCCTTGAGACTCCAGATCATCTGAAGCATGTAAATCCTGAATTCTTTATCTGACATTCCATCTGCTGAAGCTATTACCTCTTCTAAAGTTGAGTTGACCTGCTTTTCTTGTGGTCCTTTCTTTCCTTGTCTTTTCATAGTGCTCGCTTTTCTTTCTGCTTGGTGAAACTGTTGTGTTATTGAAATTTCCCCCCTATATATTTATATTGCTCTTGTATACTTGCAAAGTCTCCCTTGGAGGCGCGGGCGGCAGCTGTGCTCCTCCTCCAATTGGGGTGATCTGTCTACCATGCTGGCAGGCTTCTGGGCCTGTGCTCCAGGTTGAAGTTCTGCCTACCTTGCAGGTGCAGGCGGCGGCTGTGCCCCCCCTCAAAATAGGGTAAACTTTCAACAAGACCAGCCAGGCCACTGGGCCCCTTCTCTGGGACGCACCATCTGCCTACCTTGCGGGCGGCAGCTGGGCCCTTCCTCCAATTGGGGTGATGTGTCTACCACGCTGGCAGGCCGCTGGGCGTGTTCTGCCGGTCGGTCGCAGGTCTGCCTACCATGCAGTGTGTGCGGCAACTCTGCTCTGCCCCTCCTCCAATTGGGGTGACGTGTCTACCACGCCAGCGGGCTGCTGGGCAGGTTCTGAAGGTTGGTCGCAGGTCTGCCTACCTTGCAGTGCGTGCGGTGGCTCTTGATTGGAGAATTTAATTCATGTATAATTAAAGTAAATGTTTTGAGCTGCTCATTGTTTCCTTTGTAATTTGGTATTTTTCTAAGTGGTATGCTTTTCTTTTTCTCTTTTGAATATCAATTGCAGTTATTTTTTTTTGTGGTTACTATGAAGCTTACATATTTTTTTTTTTTGCAAGAGAGAGAGAAAGAGAGAATTTTTTTTTAATATTTATTTTTCAGTCTTCGGTGGACACAACATCTTTATTTTATTTTATGTGGTGGTGCTGAGGATCGAACCCAGCACCCCGCGCATGCCAGATAAATGTGTGACCCCGATTGAGCCACATCCCCAGCCACATAAAAATTCTTATAGTCATGAAAATATGTTTCAAGCTGATAATAACAACTTCTATTGCACACAAAAACTACACTTCTAAAAATAGCCAATAAATCCATGAAAAAAGACTCAACATCAGTAATCACTGTGGAAATTCATTTTAAACCACAATGGGATATCCCCTCACACCTGTTGTCAAAAAGAAGGAAAAAAAGTTGGTGAGGACACAGAGAAAAGGGAGAAATGGGAATCCATGTGCACTGTTGATAGGAATTTACAGTGGTACAGGCATTTTGGAAAACAGCATAACTTCCTCAAAAATTAAAAAAGAACTTTTGTCATCCAATAATCCAACCACAAGGTATATCCAAAAGAAATGAAATCAATATTTTGAAGAGGTATCTATATTCCCATGTTCAGGGCAGCATTATTAACATATTCTATGATATGGAATCAATACAAACTTAACACCACAAAAATACATAATCCAATTAAGTATGCAAAAGAACTTAATAGACATTTCTCAAAAGAAGAAACACAAATGATCAACAAATATATGAAAAAATGTTAAACATCTCTAGCAATCCGGAATATGGGGTCAACCTGATGCTGGAGCAGTCATGGTACATGGGTCTGTAGGGGCTGGTCTGGAGTTTGGAGTCATGTATACTAGCCTTATATCATATAGCTGCAGCTCTGGTCTAAAGCCTGGGGCCATGGGAGCAGACCAGGTAGGCCTAAAGCCTATGTTTGTGGTTGTTGGCCTGGTACCTGAGGCCAGTGCTGCTGACCTGCACTAGAGTAGAATTGATGCCTAGGGCTATATGTCCTAGCTCTGGGCTGGTCTGGAATCTGGGGCAGAGACCTGGAGCTTGTATCCACATAGGCTGGACATAGTATGGGGATGGTACAGAACCTATGGCAATGAGAGCTGGCCAGATGGAGATTCAGTGCCTGGGAGCTGGCTTGGCACAGGTGTTAGCCTGTAGCTGGATCTTAGGGCATGGGGGCTGGCCTGTTTCTGCGGCTATCCTGGAATCTAAGATAGGAGGGGCTTGCTTGGTGCTGAGGTAGGTATGGAGCCTGGGTTCACAGGTGCCAGACTAGTGACTGGGTCCTCCGTGCTGGCCTGGCACCAGGTTCACTGGGACAGTTCTGGTCCTGGAGTGTGCAGAAAAGGTGGGTGCTCAGTTCACTCTCCTACCCCCACACTAAAGGTATTTCTCTCTACAATGTTCTCTGCAGATTCAGGGGAGGAGGTAACATGAGTAATGTTGAAACTGTCCTTTCTTCTCTCTTGAATAGGTCTTTTCTTATTTCTGTGCTTTACCCACATGCCATAATCTCCCACTTTAGTCCTTGTGAAGGTATTGTATGTGCATGTGTGTGCATGCACGCACCCTTGAATATGCACTCATGGATTGTTGTTCAAGTTAATATTACTCTGAAGGGATGGAAATTCCTATTCTGCCATTTTGCTGACACTGTGCTATTACATTCTTCACAAATTTTCTGACTGATGCAGTCCAGCTGCTCTGGGAGATTTAGAGAGACCAGTAACGGGGACCAAGTTTCTGTATACGGATGGTCCCTGACTTATGATAGTTTAACTTATGATTTTTTGACTTTATGATGGTGTGAAGACAATAACATTCAGTAGAAACTATTTGCCAGATTTTGAATTTTGATATTTTCCTGGGTTAACAATATGTGATTCTCTCCCAGTGCTGGGTAGTGGCAGTGAGTCACAGCTCCCATTCAACCACAGGGTCATCAGGCTAAGCAACGAAGACCCTAGAGTGTACCATGTGTCCAAGCTAGGATGTAAGTAAATAACTAAGTAAGATATATTAAATGCATTTCCAATTTATAATATTTTCTATTTACAATGAGTTGATCAGAATGTAACCCTATTATAAATCAAGAAGCATCTGTATTTAGATTCCAGAGTGATTAAGTCTGAGGGCTATAACTGAAGTTAACTCATGAGAAGCCTTGGCTGAGAGGGGTTTCAAGGGGTACTCTAGCATAGTGAGGTGGGGTAATGGCTGGGAAGAGTTTAACTTGTCATCAGAGATTTTTTGACATACTTTTAAGTACTTGATTTTTTTTGTGTGTGTTTTGAGTTTCTTCACTAAAAGGAAGAAACAGAGATACAGTGAAGTTGCCATTGAAATATTGCCCTTGTTTAGGAGTTCAGTTTCATCTATGTGTGCTTTAGTATTTGGTAACATTAATATTGTGTTTATAAACTTAACAACTTGAATTTGATTCTGTAATCCTCAAACTAAACGGAAGCTCTCAGCCCAAGAAGCTTCTGTCCCACTGCGTTAATTAGCACATGCCTGAGTCTGACCCACAGCCTAGGGCCTAGGGCATAGTGAGTCAACAAAGCCTGTGCTCTAACTTTTATGGGATTTTTTTTTTTTTAGCCATTTTTATTCTTTTTTTTGAGTTGCTGAGTCTGGCCTCAAATTTGCAGTCCTCCGGCCTTAGCTTTCTGAGTCACTGGGATCACAGGCCTCTGCCACCAGGCAGTTATTCCCAACCTCCATTATGAGTAAAAAGACCTTGACTGTGGAGACAGCTTATTTTCATTGGCCTTTCCCCCAACTCTAGGTTCCACTCTCTATAACCAAAGAAAGCCCCCTAATGCATGTGTAATGTTAGTGTGCTAAAAACTATAAATGGAATCATACCACAACTATATAATAAAATGAATATAACTAACAAAGAATCAAAGGGTTATTTTCAGTTTTCATGAATGTTCATAAAGAATTATACCTTAGTTTTGCCTTTTCATCTTTAAGAACTAGTAAATCCAGTTTATAGATCAAACTTTTCTCTAAAAGGCAGTCTTTTTTTATTGACTAATTACAGTAAGACAGTTTCCTTCAGCTTTAGCTTTCATTATCTGTAATATGATGAAGTAATAACAAGTACTAACCAACTAATATTTCTTTTGGTTTTTTTTTTTATAAGAGCTTGTTTTACTACAATTTGCAGAGAACACTTAAAGGAGGCATGACTATACGAGTGTTTAGTGCTGCTTGTTATCTGTACTTAAAATATCAGTGAGGGAGATGTCATATGATAATAAATGCTACTGATTTGGAATATACTCACTTGAGCTTTGCTTACTTTTGTTGTGAAAGAGAAAGCGAGAGACAAAGAGAAGGCAGATATACATGTGCTTTATAAAGAAAACGGCTTTTAAAAATGGCTCAGTAGTATTATGTGGGCTGACTTCTATTTCCTGGTGCCTCTGGCAAACATGGAAAAGTAGTTCTTCCATACAGACATTCTTGGAAATAAAATGTCTCTAGAGAGTGAGCTTCCTGCTTTATCATTCATAGTACCTGTTTTACCTACTAATCTGTACCTCACAGGACTATTGAGAGACCCAGCTAATAAAAAACGATCATAAAGCACTTGGCAAAATCACAACAACTATAAAAAAGGATAAATGCAAATGTGGTAAGGCTTGTCTTTCTGGTATGTACATAAAGCCTTTGTGCATGAAATGATACAGTGACTCAAATGTCAAGGAAAAAAATTTTTTTCTTTTTTCACTTTCACAAACTGGGAGTAGTTTTACCAGCTGGTTTGCTAGACTGAATTGTTTCTAACTCAATAATAGGGTACTAGGTTTAAAACCTTCCTTTTAATGCTGATATTAGGCCTCTCCATAAACTCATGAATACATTGCTTAAGAATTCATACCTGCTTATTTAAAGAAGTGCAACCTATTTGTATTAAAAATCATAGGGGTAAATAAATGGGTCATGTAGCAATTGAAGGCTTTATTTACATCACAAAATAGGAATTAGCAGCACCTATTTGGTAGTTTTCCTGAGTTACCACAGTGAGAACAGGATAATCACCGGGTACAGTGTACATGTTATGCTGTATGTTCCTGATCTACAACTCCATCCAAGAGGAAAGGGAAGAGAAGACATAAGATGCAGCTGTGTAGCAGGCAGAAAAGGCAGTCTGTCCACATTTATGCAGGAATTTTGCTCAGTCACACATACTATTGGGCGGATTCATGGGTCTAAAAGCTTCTTTCTCATTCCAGCCAAGCCCAGTTTCCCTGGTGTCTCAAGAAGATGACGAGACTTTGTTGTAATTGTGCACAGAGAATGAAGAAAGGTGGGTGAGAGAATCCTTCCTACAGTGGAAGCAAGTAAGTTCCCACCAAACTAAGAAGACAATCAGTTTCTCCTTTCTTCCTAGAGAAGATAACAGTAGAAATTGTCTTAGCAGGTAAGGCCTATGTCTTGGATTTATAACATCAGCAGAGAGATAAGGTTATGTCCATACTTACGAATCCCAGGAATACTATATATATGTATTTTTTTTACTTTGATCTTGACTTATTTACTATAAATATTTTAGAGATGTGATTCTCTATTTATTATTCAAAGAAAGTTCTGCTATGGAATTATACCTTTTCTCTGGCATTTTAGTAAGTTCTATATTTGCCAGCATGTTATATTCCTCTAGCCCAGAATTAATCACATTTAAGCATAAATAATGTTTTCCTAGCTTTACTTATATGTTAGAAAAGTAGAGTTTGGAACAAAGGGATTTGTTTTGATTATGTCTGTATTCACATTAAGTTTAGGGTTGCTTATAGGGGTTGCTGATTTTGTTGGGCTATCTATATCACATTAGATGCTCTTCTATGTTTCCTTCCAGTAAATTCTAATGACACTGCTCTTTGGATGTGATTACTCATTCTCTTGAGAGTATTAAAAGGGTGTGAGCAAAGCTGTCACACAATGATGATGTTTTTATTTATGTGAAATATCTGGTGGGTGGAGTAGGAAACTCCTATGCAGTGCCACCAGGTCACACAAACACTGCTCTGTTTCTTGAAGCCCAAGTAAGATTTTTTGGAGTCCCTGAAGAAAATTTGACTCCTCTTATCACTATTGGACATACTCTGCTTCATATATTCTTTGCTGTTAACTCCAAGAACTTTTAAGTTTTCCAATGTCTGACAGACTAAGGAAAGAAGATAAGGGTGAACTAGCAGAAGCTGGTCAGAGGTAGGAGCATTTATTCTACAACTGTGGGCAAATTACCTGAACAAGGGGGAAGGGAAATATGTTTTGCTGTATTATTTTTGAGAATTTTACTATCTTTCTACTTAAGTTTATAAATAAATACATAATTACATCATAATTTCCACTTGAATTTTAAAATTATTTGGGTGTGTTCAGATTTGGTAATAAAGATATCAAAATTTATATAAGCCCTTTGGCTCCAAAATGTAATACAATATTTTAATGAAGATGACTTTTAAATCAACACAGGATGCTAACTTTATAAGCTGTGAGGTGTGAAAGCAAGTCAGAAAGGTGTACTTTCAGGCCTAAATCCTTTCTTTTACCTTCTCTCTTATGTGCTGCTGAAGGAGATTTTAACTTCAGATTCAAATTCACAGTATTGCTGCTGAGGGTAAAAAACAAAACAAAACAATAGAAGAGTGTTTTCCTTAACAACATTGTCTCAGTTGATATTAAAAGTCAGGTGTTGATAAAATGTTTTTAAGATAATTTTCTTCAAGAAATTTGGCTTGTTAAAACCCTATATAAAGATTTTTCTTTCATAATTAATAAAGATGATGAAAGTATTAATAAGTTTAACCAAAGAACAATAATAAGAAGCTGTGCAGAGTTAGATTCTACAGAATGCCTGACTTGGATACATACTGACTACAGTTAATGGGAGGGATATATCTAAAAGCTTATTTTTAAATTAATTATTTGAAACTCAAAAGTTTAATATAAATTGGTGAGGTTCACAGCCCACTTGAGTCTAGTTAAGGTATATTGAATCTAAAGCATTATTAATGAAATTATTTTAAAAATGGTAATTCTAGAGTTTACAACTGTGTTTTTCTTTTCACACTCCAATGGGAAAGAAGCTGTCCTCTCCTGGTACTTCTGGGTATCAGTAACTCATCATTTTTATTTAAGGCACATTTATATATGGATAAGTAGCAGGGCGCCAGGGCTTACCCGTGTGGTTATCACAGCATATCAGGAAACAGGGCAGCTGGCTCACTGAAGTCCCTGAACTGGATTTTTCCACACCATTAATATATAAGGATGTAAAAGTAAAGGACTATTTGGGTATGGCTTAAGGAAGGTGGGAATATTAGGTCACTAAAAAGTTGGTATTAATTTATTTTATATGACACTATAGACAAAACTATGCAATTACAATAATTTAGTCAAGACTTCCATTAATATCAACTAGAAATCCAGAATTTAAATTAAAAAAAAATATTTAAAAGTTTTTTATTTTTCTTTCTTTCTTTCTTTTTTGGTGCTAGGAATTGAACACAGGGCTTTATACATGTTAAGCACATGCTCTACCAGTGAGATAGACTACCAGCCCTAAAAAATATTTTAGATGTATTCAAGAGCAGGCAGTCAGGTAAAGAAAGAGTTGGGGGTGGGGGAGTGAAAGTCAGAACTGGATGAATTTGAGCATCTGTTGTCATGGCCACATGAGGCTTGAGGCCTTTCCTAATATGGGAATCCAATAGGATACTCCTCATAAAGCAGACACCCCAGAGGGATTTAAGGAAAATCAATTATTTCAAACACCAAAACAGAGTTAAGGAGAAAAAAGCTTCCTGGAGGATTCATAGCTACAAGCCAGATCTCATATGGGTGGTCTAAAAATTTTCAAGCTGAGAATTTAGTATGAAATGGTCCTGAACTTCTGGTGCCGCCAGGCGTCTATCAGCAGTTTTCTCCAGAGAACTTATCATTTCAAAACTCACTAAATTTCCATGCATAAAGCTCTAAGGATCAGATAACTAAAAAAATCACCACATACATAAGAAAATAATGGACCATAAGTAAGAACCAGCATGAACAAAAATCAGAAGGATCAGATCCATACTGCTTCAGATATTAGAGTATTCAGAAACAGAATTTAAAGTGTATATATGAAATGTAATTTAAGAAATTTAGAAGAGGCTTTAGGATATGTGTTCAGAGAAAGAAAATTTAAAAAATAACCAAACATAACTTTAGAAATAAAAGTAATATACATTAGAAACTAAAAAGATGATGATAGCAGAAGATGAGACAAAACTGAAGAATCAATGAATAGGAAGACATTTGTGAAATTATCCAGAATGCAGCCCAGAGAGATAAAGAGAAAGATACTATGAAAGAGATGTTCAGAGATATGGAGTGTAGAATGAGAATACAGGTGCTATCAGCAGCCTAGAAAGAAAGGAGAGAAAAAGTGGGGTTCAGAATGTTTGAGAACTGATGAAGTCACCAACTCTAGAGTCAAAAAATCCAAGGATAGCAAGAAAGATGGATTTAAAAAAATCTGTACCTAGATTTACTCTTATTGAGTAAAACTATTGTAAACTAAAGACAAGGAGAAAATTTTAAATGTAGCTAGAGAGAAAAGATGGATTACATTTCAAGATTATTTTTCAAAATTCAAATTGTAACTAAGGAAGCTAGAAGATAGTGTGTGTGTGTATGTGTGTTTTTTAAAGAATAAGGGTAAAATACATTCCCAAACAAAAAATGAGGGGATATACCAGCACTTACATCATATAATTTAGGTAAATGTAAAAGTGATCCTAGATGGGAGATCTAAGGGAAAAATAGGAAAAAAGAACAAAATGAGTGGTAAAGTTCTGGATTAATCCAGAACAAACATTGACTATATAAAACAGCATTCACTGGGCCTAGTGCACATGTCTGTGATCCCAGTTATTTGGGAGGCTGAGGCAGGAAGATTGCAAGTTCAAGGTTCTGTCTCAAAATTAAATATGTTATAAATACTTAGTTACGTACTGTAGTTTTGGATGGGCTTTTAAAGATTCTTGTGTTGTTTTGGAGAAATTGGGTCTATCAGTGAACTCTGAATTTAATCAGTTAGAATCTGCCTGTTAGATGTTATAAACTGTCAGCTAAGGCATAGAAAGTACAAAGCTTTCAAACTTGAAGGCTGATGTGTGAGTGTTGAAACAAAAGCATAAAAAACCATAATCAATCCTAAAGAAGATGAAGGAGGAAAACAAATCAGGAGACACTGACAGGAAGCACAACATTAAAAGGCAGAAATAAGCTCATATTATCAGAAATTATAATAGGTGCAAATGATTTAAAAGCTGGATCTAATTAGACCAGTTAAAAAGTAAAATTTATTAGGCAAATTCAAAACACAATGATTTAAAAAGTTCAAATGTAAAAGAATGAAAAGAGATATACTTATACCAGACAAATACTACTCAGAAGAAAACTGCTTAGCATCTAAGGCAAAAGAAATTCATCACATAATGATGAAAGGTTTCATTTACCTGGTAGATATAATAATTATAAACTGGCAAGTATAACTGCAAACTATATGAAACAAACAAATAGAAATATTTGCCAGGACTATAAGGTGAAACAGATGAATCCATCAATGTATTAGGATATCTTAACTCACCCCTCCCATTAATTGAACGTGTCAAGCACATGGAAATTCAGTAATAGAAAATGTCAAAACACACTCACTATCCTTGATACATATTGTTAGAATACTGTACCCAAAGGCTGCAGAATATATATTCTTTTTATTATTTAATTTTTCTTGAGGGGCCAAGGATGGAACTTAGGACCTTTCATATGCTAAGCAAGCACTCTACCATTGAGCTACAATTCCAACCCCAGAATATACATTATAAACCTACACAAAACATTTAAAATAACTCTGAAAACATTTAAAAACATTAATAGTGTGCAGACTGTGGTCTTTGAAAATGTTAACATCAAATGTCAATAAGGAAATTCTGCTGAAATTTGATTTTTGGAAGGTCTAATACCAATTTGAAAGTCTGCCCTTTGTACACTTCTCTATCAGTCATAGGGGAAGTTCTACATGAAGTGTCACTAAGATTATACCACCGGTTTCAATAATCATATTACCAAGATAAGTGAGTATTAAATTCTTCTCCAGTAGTTTTTAGTAAATTATGTATGTAAATCATGTCCATCTGTTTCTCTTTTACCTTGGTAATCTCAGAATAAATAGAACTCTTCATTACAGATACCTAAAAGGTGGTTTAAAAACATTCACTTTGGAGTGTTTTTTTTTCTCTACACATACAAGGTAAATAGAATAAACAACACTGCATATTATGCAGGGCCATAACTGTCACTTAAAATACCAAAAATGGATGGAGAAAACAATTGTACTTTCTCATGATGTAGGCATCCCAGGTAGGGTTTTTTCTTTTTTTGCTTTGGAGAAGAATTAATTATAGTGAAAGGAGAAGTTAAAAAAATTCATAACACTTGGAGCAGAAGTGGTTTTTAGTTTACAGAATTTATTTCAAGTCTTGGAGTATGCTAATGTCTTAGGTAGAAAAAACTTAATTTGGGAAAAACAAATTTATGTGGTGTAGTTGAAATTCACAGAATAATTTTTTAAAAGATCACACAAATTTATAGAACTTTAAAACTTGAACATAACTCTGTTCATGTGGTATTACTATAATTCCCATTTTATAAATGTAGGAACTGAGAAACTGAAGTTAAATGTCTTACCCCAAGTCAAGTTATGACAACACATTATGCCAAAATGAAACTTCAAAAAAATTTCAGTTATGTTTTAGCTTCATTTTTGATTAAGAGGCCATAGCTGTGTAATGTCTTGTTTTGTTGACCAAGTAATAACAACTTTGGCAAGAAAGTTTCAGATCTTTGAATTTAACCTTAGCTTTTTTGATTCTAAGTTCCCTAATTTCCAAGACCTTGTCTGACTTTTATATCTCATGACACACTATATTCATACCACATTGGATTACCTCCTGCATGAAAATAGACTGAAGTAACACACATTTGGATGACAATAGTGTAGCCACATGTCCTATGTTTGCTGGGAGGCTTCCCTGGAAGACGTGGTACCCTCCAGCCTGGGTCAGTTTTGAAAGTTCATCATAAGACTTTTTCTAAATCTCTTCTGGTAGACTATGAGGCAGCAAGGCAGAGGAAGATGTTTTAATAAGTAAAAGTAAATAGCATCAGATAGCCCTGGGTCTGAATTCTAGTACTGCCTTTACCCACTGCTTATGCTGGCCCCAGTATCTTAATGGATGAAATGTAGATAAATTTAACTGTAAGAGTATGGCAAATACTGATTCAATGTTTATAACCTGCTTTCTAGTTCTTTGGTGCCCCATAAGTTAGCCCCTCCTATCCTCATACTTAAGTGGATCTTCCTCGTTGCTCCCCTACACTACTGGTCCTTGGGGCCTGCCACTATAAGAACGTGTACTAAAGTTAGTCCTTGGTTGTGCTGCAGTTCCTGGCATAGGAATGTCTGTTTCACACATGTGCGGACAAGTGGAGCACTATCGTTTTGCCACTTGACAGGGTTATTTAGCAGGTGCACATTTCTGAACATTCCTGAAGCAGGAGGGGGCAGCTCTGGATTTCCCAGAGCAGTAAGTAACCAGGCCACAGCTGGAGTGAGGCAAAAGCCAGGAGCATCAACTTGAGCTCTGAATTTGCAGTCTGAAACGAAGGGAACCCAATTCCGTGTGCACTTGATGTTGTAAATACTACACAAGTCGAGGAACCTTTTCAGGTACTTCACTGGTAAGGAGGCTATAACCTGGACACTCGGAGCCTGGACTGGACCCAGAAAGGAAGGCGGTTGGTCCAGTGCTGAGGACACAGGAGGCACCTTGCATTCTGGCTCGGTTGCAAACGGTATGTGAGCAGGCGCCTGCACCCCCTCTCTCCCCGCTGGCCGCCTGGGGCGCCGGGATCCCGGCTGAGGCGTCCTCTGCAGGCTCCCGCCCTGGGGCCGCGCGGCCCAGGTGAAGCTGCCGGGCGCGTCCCCGTGCGCCCCTTCCCCCCCTCCCGGCGACTTCCTGGTTTGTAGAAGGTGCAGGAGTCGCTGTGGGCGGCCTCGGTCGCAGGAACTAAGAGGCCCCTGCT